GTGTTTATTACTCAATGTTATATGCCCTGATCAAGCACAGTAAATATGTGATTGTATAGAATGAAAACATAATAAAATATATATATACGTGAAAAAAAAAAAAGAGGAATTATAAAGAGAGGAGAATAGAACGGCAATAATGTTCAGGGCTGCAGGCTAAATTGTATGAAATTAAAAGGTTAAATGAGTGGATGTTTTTAGCCTAAAGAAGAGAAGACTAAAGAGAGAGATGCAGTCAGTCTTCCAATAACTGAAGCACTGTTAACAAGCAACAGGGTGTGGATTTATTTTTCACAGTGTCTGACAGTAGGCCAAGGACCAGTTGGTGGAAGTTTTACAACGTGAGATTCAAACTCAATATTAGGAAGAATTTTCTACTGTGAGAGATATTAAAGCATTGGAACAGCCTGCTTCCTAGAGTCGTGGACTCTCTATAATTGATGGTTTTCAAACAAAGATTGACAATCCTTGTGTGGGATGGTCTGAGAATTCCTGCCTTAAGCAGGAGGTTGGACTAGAAAAACTCCACTATCTTTCGCCCTGACAGTATTTAGAGCATTCAAATGTATGTGAAAGTCAAGCCACAAAAGAATGGTGACAACTGCCCATTCATAGAATTATGTCATTGGATCTATAAACTTATTGAAAAAGGAGATTAAAAACATTTAATGAAATGCAAAAACTTGGAACAAAAAGATCAAACAAAACAAAGCAAAATAAACAAAATGAAATAAAAAAATTATATGAAGTCTAAAGAATTCTTCAAATGCTGCTACTGCAATCAAAATTAAGCCCTCTGATAATATTGGAAAGATGCAATCTGCCTCTGAAATCCTATGCAGTTCTACAGTGATCTAAGATAAACTCTGTTTAGGATTAGAATTTATTCAATATGTGTAAATCATTGAGAGTCCAATATACTAGTTCATATAGAATACATAACAAAATGAGGTTTAGATCTTTATCATGAACAAAGCTATGAAAGTGGCATTAGTGTAAGTGATCATTTGAAGAATGTTATTCTTTCAAATTCAGATTATATAATCACTTCAGAAATTCACAATAGAATATTTTAACAAATAAAGATTATACAGTGCAGAATTACAAGATACCTGATCAACATACTGATACCCATCTAAAGATCTACTTCAGAAAAATGAACATCATAATTCCCCCCCCCCCTTTTTAGGAAGGTGAATCCAAAAATTGTTCATTTCATTACTAAAATATTTTAGGTCTATTTAAAAATTATAGGCAAGAAGTGAAAAGTAGAAGCAAACAATAGAAACATTTTGGATAAGAACAGGAGCATAATGCAAAAGTTAAGAATTTCAATTTGCTATATATTTCACTGGACAAGATTTAAACACATATTTAATTTCTTCCATTAAAAAAGCTGGATTTCAATATGCTTGATTGGACCATGCCTAAAATGTGCAAACAGCATATGAACACATGACACAATTACTATATAATGCAGATATGGTAAATATCCAATACTTATTGCATTAACCATTTGGTGCCCATTTAAATGGGTATTTTGGTGCCCATTTAAATCTCCTGATCTGTCACTTCTTTCTATAATAAACATTCACCAAAATGCCCATTTATGTTATATAAAGTCATTTTACTATGGCTGTTTTTATAATTAATATGTTTAAAATATAATAGTGTGTTTTCCTAATAGATTTTAATATATTTCTATTGAATAATGCTACAGGCATTATTCTATAGGCCAGCAAGGGAAAGAATGTTAATATACATTGTAAATATACATACAAATAATTTCTTCATTTGAGATTGTCCGTATAAACATTTGGCCAAACATGTTGAGATATAAGAGATAGAGCTTTCCAATTCATGAGTCATCAATAATGAATTTTTCTTCATATGAAAACTTTGGAAGTATGAATTCCTTTTTGGAAGTAAATGGAAGCAACTGATATTTCCCAGAGTAACATAGCTCTTTGGTCAATGAATCTAACATATTACAATATTTTGCACTTATTTACCTGGGCGTATACCTCATCAAAGATACTACTGAGACTTGCTTCTGAATTAGAATTTCACTAATATTTTAGGTTTTTCTAAGTACTTATATATTAATCACTCCAAGTTATCGGAAGTGAATGATATTGAAGAAACACTGTTCTGGATGTTTTCTAGGTTGCTTACTTGGGCATAAATCAGAGCAGAAATTTTGTATAAGTATTACATTTGAAAGTGTAAACAATTCAGTTTAAATAGTATTTGATAGTTTGAAATGTAAAATCATATAACATTTTTAATTTATGTAAATAAAATCACTTTATTTTTCAATGTTTGTTTTTAATATGATTTATATTCAACATTAAATAAAAATGTTCTTGCAATATTTAGCAATCAAAATATGTTTCTGCTAGTGGTATGCATAAATTATGTTTAATTTAACAGAATTATATCCATAAAAATAATGGACCAAAAAAATAATTGCTTAATATTGGGGAAAAGATTTAATCAAAAAGAATAGAAAAATTGCAATAATCATTTTTTTAAACATAATACATAAATGTTGCCTCTTACATAGTACCTGCTTTATCACTTGTTAGTCAAATATTAAACAAAGCAATATTCAATATTTCTTATAAATTAGAACATTTCAGTGCTATTCTCTGCAAACATACAAAAATAATTATCAATCAACCTGATCAATTCCTCATTCCAGTGAAAGATTTGAATATCACTCATCACTATAGACATCCCCTGCAAATGGTAGATGCACTTGACTTCCTGTAACATTGGGGAGCCTTGACAGATCAGGGAGACTCTGGATGCGTGACTTGAGTTCTTTCCGTACCTGGGACACACCAGTTAATTTGCGCTTGTGTTCCTGTAACACATGAAAAACATTTACATAAGTTAATCAGTCAGTCAGCCGTTTCATTTTGGCTGTTGAGAGGCAAAAAATGACAACAGTCCCATTTAATTCATTGACTATCACTGTAGCTTATACAATACAGAAATTGACTAGAGTAAGAAAAGCTGCACAATTATACAAAAATACAAGCAAAATTGTAATTTAAATTTATGAATTTTGGGCATAAAAGTAACGTATTAAATTTTAGATCAAGCAATTAAATATAATGTAGAATAACAGAATAGTAATTTTACTAGTGTAAACTTGTCAACCATCCCATTGTTAAATGTAGCAAAAGAAATTCCTGAAATGTTATTTTACCGAGCCAAGAGTATAATTTTTCTGATAATTCCACATAAGCACAGAAGTAGCAATACCAATTCTAAGGTTTTCATGCAAAAACCAGCATAGGTAAAATCCCCCTTTTCCCCTGAACTGTTCATTGTCTACCAATCAATTGCATTCATTTTGTTTTGGGAACAATTTGAGTGCCTTGAAGTTTTCCCAGGGTTTAACCTTGGGGATTGAGACTGTCCCAGGCTCCATCGGCTCAGCTGCATTCCTCAATTCTCTCCCAAACTTCCCTTGCCTCCCGATATTTCCCTCTCCCCTCCCTGTTTTTGTTGTCTAATTGTGAGCAGGGATGCGTAGCGAGTCAGCTATGACACAATGATCCTCCAGAAGATAATCCTACAAGGAAGCAAATTTACAGAAAGTTATATTACATTTTCCCCTTTTCCCCATATTCTATTGAGACCAGTTTGGATACTTAACATGGAATCTGTGGATGAGTCTAGATGCTCAAACATCCCTTACCACCACCCATTCTGTATGAGCCAGAGGGAGTCCCTTGGAAGAGCCTATTTGGCTCAGGAATTCATGCCAAAACTTTGACATGAATTGTACTCCCTGATCTGAAATTGTGCATTTTGGAAAACCATGAAGCTGGTATACCTGCTGCACAAATAGTTTACATAGGGATTAGGTCAAAGAAATCCTGAGACACCACAAAGTTGGCTTGCTTGGAGATCAAATCCATGATAGTCCATAATGCACCATTCCCAGCACTCTCTGGCAGCTCCACAATGAAGTCCATTTCCTTCCAGGGAGCTGTGGGGTTGGCCATAGTTTGCAAGCAGCCACTTCATCAAGGTACAGATAGGAAAGAGGGCCACACAGGCTTCTATGTTCTTTTCCATTCTTGGTCACCAAAATTGCCTTTTTATAAGATGAAGAGTTATTACGAATCTTAAATGTCCTGCCACCTTAGCATCATGGCTCCTCTGTAAAAATAGAGTCCTCTGGCCAGCTGAAATTTATATCTTACTTCCCATCCATGCAAGCCTGTCTCTTAATGACAGATCATCTTTAGATTGTTGGAACCTCTCATCTCCTCTTAGAGCATCTTTTAATGGTTGCAATAGATCTTCAGCAAACAGCAATGGTGATGTTCTCTGCTCTCTTGTAAGAACTAGTGCTGTAAATTGTCTGGACGGAATGATGGAGTTAATGACTTTCTCTCAGGTGCTGTTTGTACTGTAGCATTTGGGAGAGGGCATCTGCTAAGAAATTTTTCATAGGTAGCGGAGGGAGATAATTTTTAGGGAGATTTCATCGCTCCTAGGTTCTTGTGGTTCATTTACACTTCGAAAGGAATCTTACTGCCCTCCAAGAATTGTCTTCATGTTACTAGAGCCCAGCAGACTGTGTAGGCTTCTTTCTTCCAAATAGTCCATTGTTTCTCAGTTTTGGACAGCTTGAGGATGTACACACACATGGATGCAACTCTCTCTTGACATTCCTCTTGAGCAGTACTGCTCCTACAGCAATGTCATTAGCATCTGCTTGTGTCACAAAAGGCTTATCTGTATCAGGATGTTTTAGGACCGGTTCCACACCGAAAAGGTGTTTTAGCTTCTCGAACACAACTTGGCACTCAAGTGACCGTTCAAGGACTGGTTGGGCTTGGACTTAGCTTCTCCCTTCATTTTCATTAGGCTGGTGATAGGCAGGGCTATCTGGATGAGTGTGGGGATAAATTGGTGGTAGAAGTTTGAAAACATGAGAAAACTCTGCAATTGCATCCTTGTTCAAGAGGGTTCCACCTTAATATCACTCAACCTTTACTGAGATCCATCTCCATGATCTCTTTTGAAATCCGATACCCCAGATAATCTATGCTGGTCTTGTGAAAGTCACACTTCGACAGCCTTGCATAAAGTTGAGCCTTCCATAGTTTCTTGAGTGTTGCTTTTACCAATTTCACATGTTCCTCCATGGACTTGGTAAAGATTAATATATCGACCAGGTATACCAAGTTCTCTTTGTGCAGGTGCTCATGTAAGACTTCATTAATCAATTGTATGACCACCGCAGATGCTCCTTGTAACCAAATGGCATCACATGGAACTGGTAACAGCCCAGAGGACAATTAAACACTTTCTTCCATTTGTCCCCTTCCCTAATCCTCACTTGGTAATATGTCTCCCTCAGGTTCAATTTTGTGAAAATTCTCTCTTTGGCAAGGTGCTCTAGGACAGTGTTGGCAAAACGTTTTGGCACCGAGTGCCAAAACAGGAGTGTGTGTGTACGGGGGGAGGAGCACCAGAAACTGGAAGAACAGCTTCCTGGTGTGCATGAACGGGAGATCAAGGAACAGGAAGAGCAGTTTCCCAGCATGCATATGTGCACTGGGAAACTGAACTTCTAGTTTCCAGTGTGAACATGCGCCCTGATCACCTGGTTTTCCCATTTCTGGGGCACATGCACTTGTGAAGACCAGTTGGCAGGTGTGTACGTGGGTGCCAGAAACCAGAAGCTCAACTTCCCAGTGTGAGCATGCATGCCAGGGAGCTGCTCTTCCAGTTTCTGGCACTCTCACATGCACAAAAACCAGCTGGTCAACGTGCATGTGTGTGATGTAACCCAGAAGAGCAATGGGCGAGGGCTGGCGTGTCTGGAGAGATGTTCTCCATGCCACTTCTGGCATGTATGCCATAGGTTTGCCAACATGATTCTAGCATGTCCTTTATTAGTACATATTTTCTTTGCAGATACAGTTCATCTCCCTATAGTCCATGCATAATCTAAGAGACCTAGCCTTCTTTTCCTTGAAGAGCACAGAGGCCACCATCCTTGACTTTGCTGGTTGGATGAAATCCCTAGCTAGCTTTTTGCATGGAGTGTCAATGCACGAAACTCCACCATTTCCTTGGCTGTCATTGAGTATATCTTGGGCTTTGGCAATTTAGCCCCAGCACAATCTCAATTGCACAATCTGTGGGTTGATGGGGTTGAAATGTATCCAATTCCTTCTTGCTAAAGGCGAGTTGTTGATAAGTTGCAATATTCCTTTGCAATCAATGGTTCTAAACCATTGCTTCCCTCCAGTGTATATGAGATTCCTAACTTTCTCCTACTTGCAGGGGCATGGTGGACTCTCAGCACTTTCACTAATCCTTATTGGTTGGCTACTTTTCTCACATCCGGCACTTATTTTTGATCCAGTTCACTGAGTTGTTCTATTTTTTCAACCCCACTAGTTCTAGGATCAGGGGCTAAAAAGTATCTAATAGTTGGGTCCCAGCCTTGAGCTTGACAGGTTTGGTCAGACAGGTTTCTGGCACTCTGCCTGTAATTGAACCATCCAATTGGACAAACGCTGTAGGTTGTGTTAATTTCCTCAGTCACATCCGCAACCTTTCTACCATCTGGGGGCTAATCAGGCATTTGGTGACCCTGAGTCCAATAGGGAAGTAAGGCTCCCTGAAGAAGTCACTAAAATTTCCTAGTTGTAATAGGGATGATTACTTATCATCAGGGTGTTTTCTCCTTCGTTGTCACTTTTGTAGAAGACAGCTCCTGTCTTGGTGGGGGTCAGAGTTTCCTCATCCCCACTGGTCTGAGAGGGAGAAAATTCCATGACCTACTGTTTTACTCAAGTCTTCTCATTTGACTTTGCGAGAGGTTTTTTTCCTCTTCACTGGTCCAGAGTGGGGGAGCATTTAACAGCCATGACATGAGGCATTTGGCAGCTCGGTGTCACTCCTTTCCACAGCGGAAGCAAATTCCTGGACTTTGGTTGGGCTTCCCTGCTCTGGTTGGAGGTGCACCCCCTTTTCCTACTCTAGGAGACGCTTGCTTCTTCAGCATCTAGTAGGGTCAACTCTCCTGCTCAGTGGGGTCAAGGTATTCCATCAGGTCAATTTCCACTCAGTAACTCCATGGCACCACTCACAGCAATCACTGCCCGAGGGGATTGCGCAGCAATCCCCTCAGGCAGGCAATGGTGGTGTACTCCTTGTTCAGTCCTTCCCAAAATTGGTAGATCAGTATTAACCCAGGGCAGTCTCTCAAATGGCTAGTTAGCCTATGGAAGTTTTGAATGTACTGTTACTGGTCATTTGCCTTGCTTTAGAGAATGGATTCAGGTTTCAACATGCTGGGCTGCTCTCATAGGGCTTGTATTAAGGCATTGAGATCATTCAGCTCTGGAGTTCTCTCATCGTGCAAAGACACCAATCATCTAGTAGAAATCTCCAGACTGGCTGTGATGATGTGGACCAAGGGTGCATCATCTGGGTACATTGCTCTGAAGTATTCCTTGTGATGCCAGATCTGGGCAGGAAATGGGCTAGGTTGCTCGGATGCCCATAGAAGCAAACCATTGGGAGAGGGGAGGCCTCTCTTCTAGGACATATCCCAGGGACAGACCAGCTGCTGCCATCGGTGCTGGTGCTCTAGTCACTGGTGGGCCCATTGGTGCTACCTGCTGTAACTGGAGTCCCAGTGCCAGGGTTCCATCCATAGAAGTAGGTGCTGGCATTGCTGGCTGCAGAAGGAGAGGAGAGGGGGCAGCTAGTCACTGGTGGCTTCACACTTCCCGAATCTATTACCATGGGCATGTCTCCTGGCATTCATTTGCACAAATCTCCATTCCCCCAAACTTCTCCCTCAACTGCTCTATGGGTGAT